AATTGCATACCATCATAAAGTAGTCACTATACAAAACGATAACTCGGGCTACCAATTTAGAACCACAGTTTTCAAAAGGGGGCGGTGGTTGACAAGCTTATCTTCTCTACAAAAGGGTACTCAAAAGACAGGGTAAATGATCTATTCTTCAATCCCTGTGGTGCTCTGGCGGCGTCTCCGAATCGATTACGGTCGCGGATCTGAAATGGTTATATAATAACCGTGAGAACGAGTCTCAATAAACAACCCCATAAACCCCACGTAGGCCAATGCGTACCCAGACAAGTCAGACATGCAATCTACCCCATAACATATAAAAATTCGCATCATTGTACTTACCTCGCCATCAAGTCCATGCCAACTCTACACGTTAGTCGTCACGTGATAAGGCAATAATAGTAATTAAATAACACATCACAAATCGCTCAAACACCAACCATGCTTTCACTCAATCACTCCAACTAATTCAACCAGTCAATTCAATCACACTCAATTCGCATGCGTGGCCGAGCAACTTTCTCACGACCTCCCGGGTCCTTTCACACGGCCCGCGTCAACACGCCTCGGGCCGGCCCTCGAGATCAAGCCGGGCTCGTCCGCGTAACCACGCCTCAGGACATTTCTCTCGACCCGCGTAACCACGCCTCAGGTCATTACTTGCCTTTCTAGCCACACCCGCGTAACCACGCCTCGGGTTGGCGGCCTCGAGATCAAGCCGGGCTCGGTCCGCGTAACCACGCCTCGGGACATTTCTCTCGACCGCGTAACCACGCCTCGGGTCATTACTTGCCTTTCTAGCCACACCCGCGTAACCACGCCTCAGGTTGGCAGCCCTCAGATCAAGCCGGGCTCAGTCCCGCGTAACCACGCCTCAGGACATTTCTCTCATGCACATGCACCACCACACAATCTGTCATCTAACACGTCGTACATTTCACAATCAAATTACCAAGCTCACACCAATGTCAATCTGACACACTCTAACAACCAATTTAATTCACACTCCCCACATCGGTCCACCGACCCGACATTCATGTCGGCACATTCAACTAATCCAATTCACCCACAAGCGCCACGACAATTCAGTCAGGCATATTTATCTCAGTCAATCACTAAATCAGCCGCACAATTATCGCCACAATAATTCACCAATTAAGCACAATCAGTCTAATTAGCCCACACCTAATTAAATTCCTAAGCCGGTACTAAATTTCACCCTAAACAAGTCTAAAAATACCCAAAGTACTAGGTAGAGTTTTGGAGGTCACTTACCTAAGTTTGGCCCGGGAAAAGTCGGCTCGGGCCCAAAATGGCCCGGGTGAACGATCGAACCTGGCGCGGGCGCGGCCAACAGCGCGGTGGCCGGCCAACGCGGGCACAATGGCCGATCGGCGTGCACGGGCGCACGGGCGCGATGGCCGTGCGGCGTGCCGGGGCGCACGGGCGAACGGACGGGCGACGCGCCCTGGTTGGATGGGCGACGCGCTGGGTCGAACAGGCACGGCGCCGGCGAGCTCGGCCACGGCCCGGGCGGCCTGGTGCAGGCCAGCAGGCTATGGCCCGGAGCTGGCCCGAGCCGCTTGGCCACGGCCTAGCCGGGCTGGCCTGGGCTGCGACCGGGCGGCGGCGGCGCGACTACGGCGACGGCGACGGCCTGCGCGGTGGTGGCGAGCGGCGACGACAAGCCGCGGGAGGGTGGAGGTCGGCGGGGGTAGGGGCGAGAGGGAGAGAGAGAGGAGGTTGGGCCGAGGGGCGGGCGGACCGGGCGGCGGCGCTGGCGGCGACGGCATGGCAGCTGGGACGCGCCGAATGCGACGAGCCGGGAGGAGAGATGGAGGTCGGCCTGGGCGGTGAGGGCGAGGGTGAGGGAGAGAAAAGCTGGGGCCGAGAAGGGGGGCAGCGGCGGCAAGCTGGCCGGACGAGCTGGCCTGCGAGTAGCGACGACGGGGGTGGCTAGGTGACGCGGCGGCGACTCGCGGCAAAGGGAACGGCAGTGAGCCCAGCTCACGCGCTCGGGAGGAGGAGAAGGCAGAGTCGGGCGAGGCTACCGGGCGACACGGCGGCGCGACGACGGCGCGGGGAGGACGGCGGCATCCTCGGCTGGTAGGGCGGCGTCGGGCGGAGGCGGAACGACGGTCGAACGGCGGTCAGTGAGCAGGGCACGGCGGTGCAGAACCAGTCGGGCGAAGGAAGAAGGAGAAGAAGAAGAAGAAGAAGAAGAAGAAGAAGAAGAAAGAAAAGGGAAATAAGGGAAGAGGAGAGAGAGAGAGTGGTTGCATGGGGAAGGGGAAACGTGCGCATGGCAGGGGGTGGGACGTGCTCAGCACGGCAGAGAGAGAGAGAGAGAGAGAGAGAGAGAGAGAGACTCAAAGTCAAACCTCTCACTCGAGTGCGATCCAACGGACACGGTTCAAACCCGAAAACGATCTAACGGTCCCCTATAATCCTAATTAATAATATAGGAAAATGGCCAAAATAAAATATGCCAAAACACACCACGAAGGAGGTCTACCAGTCCAAATCCGCACCCGGTCAAAAATCCACTTTTCACATACTCCGGGTAATACCGACGCTGGCCACAATAATATCGACACCGTCCAATTAAATTCGTCCCGGAACTCCGAGAAATTCGACACCAAAGTTTGGGCTCTAAATAACGGCCAAATTCGATCGAGTGCGATTCTAGCGAAATCTCTAATTTTAAAAATAATAAAAACCCAGGAGTGATCAGTTCCGGGTGAGATTTTATTATAAGCGCACTGACGAATTATACGTTTTATAAATCCCAAAAATGGGCCAAAATTCGGAATGTCACATTGCGTAACTTCACGTTGTCCGTGGAGCTTCCAATGATAAATCAAGAAACAAATTAAAAAAAGAGTGAAAAAAAGACGAAATACAACATTAAGAAAAAGAAATTCAAATATTAACGTTATCCCAATTAGCAAAAATATCGTCACTGTGTAGAAAAAGAGCGCGACAAGAAACCTAAAAAAAGGCAAAACCCTTGAGAGGGCTCGATTTGTTTGCTCTCTCCGTTGGGTAAAAATGTAAACATGGCCATGTCAAAGGTGATTCTAATTCTAATCATTTTCATTAAGAGTGGGACTATATTAAGATACCCTAATAATTTTTTTTAAAAGTGAAGCTAAATCTAAATTGATTTTATCAATTTATCAACTATAGCATAAGCTAATTAGAGCTTAAGTTTGCTAATTGACTAGCTAAGAAATCTAAATTAAAACGGCATGGACATTGGTCGATCACCGCCATTGTCTAAGAATGTCACGGCTCAGAGAATTGGTTCACTCTCGAGGGTTTCTGCACGAAGGATCATGATTGATCCATGAACGAGTGGGCGGACCTCGAGGATTTCAAATTCTAGAGCTTTCTTGTATGCTCTAGAATACTCTTAGGAGAGGGCAATATTGTAATTGTACCCTCCTGTGATAAATGGATGTAGATGGTAGTCGGGAATGTGCGATCTCCACCGTTAAATCGAGAAGAGATCTACGGATATGATTGAGTATGTACTTATATATAAGGGGTCTCCTCTTCCTCATTTATACATCTCATTCTCACAAGAGCAATAGAAATCCATAGTTTTCTCTCTAGAGTTTCTCTCTGGCGGTGGTCAACCAATATCCACGCCGGTCTTAATCTTTTTGTAACAAACTTTAGTTAAGATTTTTAGCTAGTCAATTAGCAAACTTAGGCTCTAATTAGCAAAATCAATTTAGACTTAGCTTCACTTTTAAAATAAATAATTAGAATTAGAATCAGCAAAATCAATTTAGACTTAACTTCACTTTTAAAATAAATAATTAGAATTAGAATCACCTTTGATAGGTTCTAGCTATCGAGGGACATGTCTCTTATAACATGTGTCAGGGTTCTCCTTCATGCTCACTTAGTGGACAAAAACTGAATCGAGACAATACTCTCGCCGACCCCTAATGGGCTAGTTCGGGTCGCGACATCCTCCTCTCTCTCACCCAGCCACCCCACTGAAAACCCCTGCTTACTCTAAACTAAGGGTGAGCAAAAGGAGCTCGATTTTTTTTTTTATGTTCTTTTGTGATTGGTTGAGCGAAACAAAATATATTAATTTCATGAAATTATGTAAAAACCCAACTAACTAGTTGATTATCACATAGCGTTTTAAAACCCCAAAAAAAAAAATCAGTATCTATGGCATTTTCACTAGATTACAAATAAATATCCTACCGTTGTGAGATTAAAAAAAATCGAGTTTTGCGACGTTTTGTAAAAGTTAAGCCTTTTCATTAAATGTAAAATGTATTTCTGTTTATTTTAAGATATCTTATGAAGGCCTAAATGATTTTGTTACAATCAAAAGAGAAATGCCGTTGATTATGACAAATTTACTTCACAATACTTTGGCCCATGGACATTTTCGTCTTTTTCCTTTTTTTTGTTTTTTTTTTTCTTTTTTTCTCTCTTCCCCGGCGAGGGTTGCCTTCGTCAGATCTGGCAAGGGCGACCCTCGCCGGCGTCGAGCGAGGGCAGACTTGCGATTCGGTGAGGGGCGCCCTCGCCCGACTCAGGTGAGGGTTGCCCTCGCCCGCCCAAGCAAGGGCGATGCTCGCCCGACGCTGGCGAGGGTCGCCCTTGCTAGCGAAGAGAGAAAAAAAAGAAGGAAAAAGACGAAAATGCCCAATAGCCAAAGTATTATGGGGTAAATATGTCACATGTAGCATAGTTTGGGAATTTTCGTGTCACAAAAAAAAGTTCAGGGTAAATTTGTTGTAAGTGACATAATTTAGGGTTTTTTATATCATAAAAAAAAGTTCAAGATAAATCTGTCATAAATGGCATAATTTAGGGTTTTTGGTGGTATTTAGCCTAAATTCTTTCCATGGATAACTCCGGCCATAAGTCAAGCAAGTACTTCAAGCCCATGTTCGGTAAATCTCATAAGCCCATGCCAGCCCAGCCCAGCCCACTCTGTTTTCCAGTTTGTCTGAACCAGGGAGAAACCCCCGCTGCCCCTTTCGCAGCAGAGAACGAGAAAAGTGTGAAGAAGAAGAAGATATGAGCTCCGCGACGGAGCCACGACAGTTGAGGGGCCACAGAGCGACGGCCACGTGCTGCATCGCCTCCCGCGACCGCCCTGGCCTCGTCGCCACTTCCGGCGAAGTAATATATGTTTCGTCCCTGTGTTTTAAGCCTGGTCAGTTCCCTCTCTCTGTGTTTTGTTTTTGCTGCTTGGTAGTCTTCTGTTTGGAAATTGTCTCTCCCTTTAATTACCGAACAAAAGGGTCGTTTGAAGTTAATATGGTGCCCACGATTGTACATGCAGTTATGTTGAAACTAGCAATTTCCAGTGTTAGCTGAACTCATTGTGATTTAAAAATTTTGGGCTTTGATAGGTAATGAAGATGTTATATATGTTTCGTCCGGAAAGGAAGTCAAGTGCTTCGATGTTCGTCTGGTAATGTCGGTCTTGCAATTTACATCTCGTTATTTTCCCTGTATCATATTCACCTTTGCCCTATCTTGAACCCCTGTTACTGCATCAATGTTGTTAACAATCGGCTCCTTCATTTACGCTGAAGGGTACCTCATGGACGCCATTGGAGTGTTATGATTACAACAAAGAAGAAATAAACCAGGTTGATAGTTGCGGTTTCTCTTGATCTTAACTGACCTTATGTCGGTATATAATGGGCATTATTTAGTTATAGTGATCTTTCTAAATGCATTTCATTATGTTTCTCATGCTTTAGGGCCATCAAAATACTTTAGTGCTTCTTTACAAATCAATACGGTTCAATTTTTCCGTTTGAGAATTAAAGATATGATCGTATGCCCAACATTTATGAAGAGAATCCAATTAATTGAAAGAAGGAAATCTATTGTTTTTGACTGTTGTCGTTAACTTATGAAACTTTACTTGCAAATTTGCTTGAGATGGCTGAAGTTTGATCTTTGACTCTTCATAATAAGCATCTCTGATTCTTATAGCATGTTGTTTACTCCTCTTAAATGGGTATTTTGTGCTAAACCTTTAAAATAACACAGGTGTGTGTTGCCTTGTGCAGATTGTCTGCATCTCGAAGTCATTCCTTGCTGCAGCAGATGATGGTGGCGAGATAAAGGTACAAATGCTGATAAGACAGTGTCCATTATGGTTGATGAGAATTTTTGCATGAAGTTCTCTTGATACATAATATATGGCATCTGTCATTTCCCATTTAATGCATATTGTACATATGACTGTGGTTGATAAGAGCCTACATCTCTAAAGAATGCAGTAAATTCTTGATGTTGCTGTGGTCATGCTACATTTCCTGCTTTTTAGCTTATTCCTGTTTTTTTGGTGCATCAGATTATTGATATTCGTCAACAATGTCTTTACAAAACACTAAGAAATGGCCATTCAAGTGTATCCTTCTCAGTTTTTTCTTAGCATATCATTTCTGTCATATATGCTGAATATGGGGAATACCATGAGTTGGAAAATTTATTGTAGCATTCGCAGCTTAATAGCCTTTCATTGCCCAGTTTGAATTTATTTGTAGCATTCAAGTGTATCCTTCTCAGTTTTTTCTCAGAACAGGGTCCGGTGGGTTTTGATTGTAAATTCAATATAGGTGACATTTTGCTTGCAAATCAAAGAAAAATTATCATGTATAAACTCAAAACTATACCAAAAGGGAGAAAAAAGAATAATGTAATTTGAGTTCCACTTTTAGAATCTTAAAATGATGGGCCAACAAAATCACGTTGGCAAAGCCTTTTCACTCCTAGTTGATTTCTGAAAAGTCCATACATTCTTCTAGCAATTTAATATAATTTCCTACTCTAACTTAGATCACATTTTTTCTTTCTTTATTGGAAAAGTTTCATTTTTCTACGCAAATTGAAAATGCAAAGCAACATCTATCATATCCACGTAATCAGAACTCTATCATTTTTTAAAAAGTAATCTGTTCTTCCTTTTCAAGTTAACTTAGAACTCAACAAATGTCTTTCGCGAACATTACTCAACATAAACTTACATATTTCGATTAGATTCAATGAAACAACTTTAAAAGGTTGTGAAATCATTTTTGTAGGGAACTCTCTTGTAAAAAGTCCCTCCAAATACTTTTAGCAATTGTGATTGCGTCACATCAGTCGTGTTCCTATTACATAAAATCCGTTTTCATGTGTAGGATACCGAATTCCACCCAAATACATGCTCAATAATGCGATTTCATGAAACAAAAATTTAGCAGTAATAAGAACAAAAAGGATACGGAACAACTTATAATTGATACCAATGTTAAAACGGTGTGTAAAATAAGCTATAGTAACGAATGTATGATCCATTGAATATTAATTAATCATTGATCTACAAGATTTCATCACGGTCATATAGCGAAAAACATCTAATTTTCATAATGTAAGTATTCTTAAACTTGAGAAGTTTCATAAAGAAATTATGTTGGTAGATAGAGATTTCACCCTTTAACATTGTTTTTAAGATAAAGAGGCAAATTGTGCATCTTATGCACTCACACAAACCTTGGACTTTACTTTTCATCTCTATCTGTATTCCTAATCATCCCAAATTAGACTCCATTTCTTTTTAATAATCTAAGAGCACAAGTGTAAGGATCCGGTTACTCGGATGCTCTTGAAATACTCTGCAAACACCATTAACCGTTTAGTTTCGGGCCTTTGATCTAAGCATGTGACCCTAATCACAGAGCAATTTGCACCGACCATGGGGATTAAGCTGGTCGGGATATAGTTTTAATTTTCATGTGCCTCTATTATTTTTCCCCTAATCATGAACTTCTTTTCAGAATTTGACCTGAACCAATTGAGGAACACAGCAAAACCACTTATCTGGACTGCAGAGAAGAAGGTTTACCGCTATGTGATTTTTAAGATCGATGAGAAGAAAAAAGAGGTTGTGGTTGAGAAGACTGGAGGTCCAGCTGAAAGATATGAAGATTGCACCTCCTCTTTGCCAGAGAATGACTGTTGATATGCTGGCTATGACTTCGACTTTGTAACTTCTGCAAAATGTCAAAAGAGCAAGATCTTTTTCATTGCATGGTGAGTTTCTTCCTTTTGTCCAGCTGCTTATAACCGCCTTGTGCATCTTCAATGGGTAAATAATCTTCCTTTTCTGTCTCTATTTAAGGAGCTGTTATTTTGGTATCTATGGAGCACTGATTATATGTTTGTTGGCTTTTTCGATTTACCTTCAGAGAAGGGCCGAGATCATGAATGTACTATTGATGCTCCAAGACTGGTATATCTAGATTTTAAAGTATTTCTTTTTGATAAGTTGAACAGTTCTGTTCGTATGCCATTTGATTTGGTGCTGAAAATTGCTACCTGAACTTGCAATTTTAGGCCAGAAACTCTTCTATAGTGCAGACCAGTAAATCTGATCCAGATTCTGATGGTAAGTGCATCTTTCGGATTTGTGATGTTTGAAGTTCAATGTTACAACGATCATTCAATTTGGTTTTGGAAATACTCAATGGGGCTGCGAGTGCTGTGGACGATGGAAATGTCTGTATTAGTTCCCACCTTGCAACTCCACCTATGGATGCCACATGTGGGGAAGGTTAGTATGCCGTGAATCGTAGGTTGAGATATATTTTGGCCATTCAAGAAAGCAGGAGAATGAGCCATAATGATACTGTATGAGGGTGGAGTGGTTCTCTCCTTGACATAAAGCTGTCACCTAAAAAGGCCCTGCGTGCTGCAATGTTAAAGAGTCACTTTGCTGACACCATCTTAAAGGCGCAACAGAAGACACTACTTGATCATGCATGCATTTTGTTGGTAGTAGATGATGCTATGAAGTGTATCATAACAGTTGTTTCATACATGCCTTTTGTAATTACAGTGCGATAAGGCTGATCCTGTGAAGATGCAACAGGAGAAGGAAAGATTAGAGAGAAGGCAGCGTGAAGGTGATAAAAAAGTTAACCTATTGTTATATTTGTTCGCTTAAGACATGTGCCAATCTTTTGCAAATGCTTTCACATGAGCAGGGAACTAGATTTACTCTTTAAAATTTTCTCTCTATTTTCTCTGAATTCCCCTCTTATGATTTCAATTGTGTTCAAGCAAGTTAATTTTGATATATATGGTAAGTTCACAAAGTAGAAAAGCAATTTGCTAGTTCATTTTGAGTTCTTGAGCAGCATCGTGTTTTTTTATTGTGTTTTGCGAACACTTTCTCTACTGAGCAGCAGAGTTTGGGTTATTGTTTGCATCGTTCTTGTCTGTGGTTGTTGGTTTAGTAATTTCATCTGAAGAGCTTATAAAAGTTGGGTCGATGTTACCTTTTTCAGATTGAGTGCGATAACCCACACTCAAAACTGGATATGTGAATGGATACAAGCCTTGTATATTTTCTTACAATGGTCCTTTGTAGGTACTAAAGTCCACCAGTGTTGTATTCCTTAAAAGGATTCAGTTAAGTCTGTCTTTGTGGCCATTGCCATGGAAGTCAACTTGGCAAGCATTGTAGGAGCCTTGTATTGACCTTCAATTTTGACCTAAGGGAGCTCGCTGCATACTGTATTAAATTTGTAATTGCATCTCTGGCCTTGCTCCTTAAATTATGATGGGATTGATGAATTAATGCTGGCTAGATCTTGAGTGATATCAGTAATCTGTGTGGGGTCTGGCAGTTGGTGACTGAGCCAGGGAGGTCCGGTCCGATGCTGAAATTTCTTCAACAAGAGATTTTTTAAATCAATATCATTTATCCACTCTTAACTTTTGGCTAAATCATCGACAATATCTATGTGTACTACTGCTCTGGTTTGCACCCTGAAGGCTTCCAAGACCTTATAATGCACTTGAACTGAGATTAATTTTTATGGCTACTGTCATTGTGGGTTCTATGAGCGTTGGTAGAGTTATCCAATGAGAGGGAGCTACTTTACTGGGGTGCTTTCCATTAGTCCTACTAGATATCATGGATTTTTCTTTGCCTAGGTCAAATGGACGAATTCTTGTTACTGTGCTTAAGGGGTAAAGAATCTTATTTGTGGGGGAAAACAAAAGTAGCTTACAAGTAGATCACATCCTTTGCTGATGGCGTTCTTGTGGGCCTTGTAGGACTGGTTGTGAGCGGTGTGGCTCTTCGACTTCGCCATCCCTGCCCTGTCAAAATGGGAAATATGTGAAGTCTTTTGAGCATTATCGAGTACGCACCATTGACCTCTCACTTATGGTATCAACAATCAAAACCATGCTTAAATGTATTAGTCAACGCATTGAAATATGCAGGGGGATGTCCATCAACTATTCTACGTGGTTATCTTGATCCAGGTATGAGATAATTCTACCAGCCACTCCAAATGTTATTGAAAACATAGTAATAATAAGTTTCCCCACGTAATTTCTTTAACATATGCTTTTCGTATTTCACCATAGTCAACTTTATACTTGTGTATGGAATTAAGACAGTGCATGTTATTGCAGAGGACTACCAAACCTTACTATCTTGTGTTACGAAACCATTCTTTCAAATTTTCACTGTGGAATTGTTTTAGAAGCAAAGGTCCTCATCGTCACTATCCTTTATGTTAATGAAACTTCTTGCATTGAATTATTCACGTTACATGAGAACCTTTCAATTCCTAAGAACTTCAGCTGTGATTCTTGTGTCTTTGTAATAACAGTCTTGCAGCCAAAAAGATCATGGTAAATAGTGTCAAGAAAAGGTCTTTTACCTCAGTAAAACAAAAGTTTGTAGTGTCGATGTTTTTAGTTACACAGCCTTAATCATTCAAGAAAAGAAAAAAGAATGTGAAGTAAATGATAAAAAAGGAGTACTTTCAAGTCAGGAATGCTGAGAAGATGTTCAGAAAATCTTTATGTAAATCTCCCTATTGTTCTACGTTTCATTAGGAAGATGTCTGCCTTGAATTATCTAACTTATCAAATATCTCCCGTTCAAGCTTCAACCTTTGTTTGAAAGATCAATTTAAATGTTGTATCTGCTCAAGGAACTTCTTTCTAAATTGAAATATTTCCTCAATCAGCTGGCATTCTGCACCTTGGGAGATGGTATTCATGGCATTATATTCCTTAAATACACAGGAATATTAGTAGTTTCAGGCTATGTTGCACCGACACGTGAAAATGGCCAACGTGTCGGTGTCGGACACGTCGACACGCGTTGGACACGTCGACACGCGTGGACACGCCTCCGACACGCGGTCAACACGGTGTCGGATTTCCGACACGAAGTCAACTCTCCGGACACGCCTCCGACACGCGAGTCCGGCGTGTCCGAAGAGTAAATTTGTAAAAAAAATGAAAACAGAGAACAATAAAAGGCGTCGACCACCAAATTAGGGCTAAAACACGATTGCCTCTTTACTTCTCTGTTCGACCGACGAACTCCCGTCCTCCGCGCCGCTCGCCGCTCCCTCTCCCGCTCCCGCTAGCCGGTCGCGCTCACGGCTCACGCTCGCCGCTCCCTCTCCCGCTCGCGCTCGCCGCTCGCTGCAGGTAGACCTCTCTGTTTCGAAAGAAATTGTGGTGGCTGGGGAACTGGGAAGAAGGGAGAAGTCGGGGAAGGGGGCGTGTGTGGGTGGGTTGGGGGAAAAGGAAAAAGTGGTGGGCTAGGTCAGATGGGTGGGCTGCGTTTTTTTTTCTTATAGGGAGGTCAGATGGGGAGGTCAGATGGATGGGGAAAAGAAATTTTGGTGGGCTGCTGTCTTTTTTTCTTATTAAGAGCTGTGGTAGGTCATTTTATAATTGTGATGGTATTTAATTATTAAAAATATATATTTAATATACGTGTCCTAACGTGTCGGAAAATTGTATTTTTTTAGAATTGACGTGTCGTGTCGTGTCGTGTCGCGTGTCGCGTGTCGGTGCAACATAGGTTTCAGGCACTTCAAAAGAAATCTGAAGAGGAGGAGAAAAGAGGTGCAAAACGAAAATAGACGATGAATAAATTTTATACTTGAAATGGAATAAGTAGATCAAGATCACCTTCTGCAATACCTATGACCACATGTTGCTGTATCAATGTATTTCCAGTTAAGGTTTTGTCTAAATTGCACATCATCTATAAAAAGCTATTATAATAAATTGAACATTCAGACTAGTTTCATAAAAGTGATATGGTACTAGGAACTCCAAGTCATCATTAGCAACATTTGATATATCGGATAGATGTACAATGACTTTACTAATAGGATCATAGACCCTTTGATGTTGAAAAGTCAACATGGTCTTTCAGAATAAATCTTCATAAGTTGGAGGAACTTTAATGTTGGAATCTTTCAAGTACTCAATCAGTTGTATCTAATGAATTCTGGAGTTACAAAGAAAGACAAAATATTTATCTGATGATTGAAAGCTTGTTCATTAAGGGTATATAACCAAATGTATGCTCACTTTAACATAAGTTTTGAATGTTTTGAAGAAATCATGTACTGATTGTAGATTAATGTTAGGGAGTGATTGCAAATAGTCACAACCGCTCAATATCCACCTCTTAAGAACCATTTGCTTAGTAAATCCATCAAAATCGTTGCTGTTTTGTAGTAGATTGGAGTACTTGAAATCAACTTCATGCCCAAACTTGTGAAGATTATCTAAAAAATTAAACATATATAACCATAGAAAACACTCAATAAAGTGGGTCGAAAAGGCTATAGTTTGCGTAGGGGTTGCGTGTTGTAATGAATAAGATTTAGCAAGAAGCAGCTACTAGATTACTCATTTTGGTATATAAGATTCGTGTCCTCTGTGATTACAGCATGAACCCGTTCATTGATTGCCAAGAGAGTGATTTGAGCATCTGCCTCATAAAGGGGCAAGAATATAAGAAATGTTCTCCTGCTTCAAGACCTTCCACATGCAATCATACCAATCCAAATGCGATAAATTCATCATGAATGATACTTTAACTTATTTTAACCACACATTGCATGATTAGGAGTATTTTTCATACCTTGATTAGCTCATGTGCCATGGAAGGTCTCATAGAATCGACCGAGCCCATCCAGTTTGGATATTTAGGGCAAATGTTTCCAAGTTTTGCAATCATGTTTAGAATCATTTAAGGTCTATGACAACCTTGCTTACGTAGGTCAAGGAAGAAAAAACTTGCTCGTGCTATTGAGCATGAGTCAAAATGGAAATGGTGCTGCTGCTTATCAGTGCTATAAAAAGCAGTAGACATCACACCATGGCACATGAGCTAATCTAGATATGAAAAATACTCCTGGTCATGTAATGTGGTTAAAATAAGTTAAATTGTCATTACTGATTAATTTATCGCATCTTCATTGGATTGGTTGCATGTGGAAGGTTCCAAAGCAGGAGAATTTCTTATTTTGTTGTTCCTTATGAGGCGGATGCTCAAATAACTTTCTTGGCAGTCAGTAAACAGGTTTGGGCTGTAATCACAAAGGACTCGGATCTTATACCATTCGGCTGTCCCAGAGTGAGTTATCTAGTATCTGCATCTTGCTATATCTTATCCATTACAACATGCAACCACTAAGCAAACTATAGCTTTTTTGACCCACTTTATTGAGTGTTTTATGTTGTATATGTTTAATTTTTCAGATAATATTCTAAATGGACACATTTGGGTATGGAGTTGAGTTCAAGTACTCCAAGCTACAACAGAGCAACAACCTCAGTTTTGCTGGATTTACTAAGCATATGGTTTTTGAGACGTGCATATTGTGCGTTTGTGACTATTTGCAATCACTCCCTAACATTAATATGCAAACAATGCATGCACTCTTCAAAACATTGAAAAATTTATGATAAAGTGATCATACAGTTGGTTATATACCCTTGAATAGGCTTTCAATCATTAGATAAATTTTTCTGTCTCTTTCTTTGTAACTCCAGCATTCATTTAATACAGGTGATTGAGCTTTTGAAAAATTCCAATATTGAAGTTCCTCCAACTTATGAATACTTATTCCAAAAGGCCATATTGACTTTTCGGCATCAAAGGGTCTATGATCCGATTAGTAATGCCATTGTACATCTATCCGATATATCATATGTTGCTGATGATGAGTTGGAGTTCATATGACCGTATCCTCTTTATGGAACTAATCTGGATGTTCAGTTTATTGTAATAGCTTGTTATGGATGATGTGCAATTTAGACAAAACTTTAATTGAAAATACATTGATACAGCAATATGTGGCCATAGGTTTTGCAGAAGATGATCTTGATCCATTTACCAAAGCTCCATTTCAGGTATAATATTTATTCATCGTCTATTTTTGTTTTGCACTTCGTTAGGCTAGTAGCTCATCTATAGTGCAGACCAGTAAATCTGATCCAGATTCTGATGGTAAGTGCATCTTTCGGATTTGTGATCTTTGAAGTTGTTCAATGTTACAATGATCATTCAATTTGATTCTGGAAATACTCAAAAGGGGCTGTAAGTTCTGTGGATTATGGAAATGTCTGTCTTAGTTCCCACCTTGCAACTCCATCTACGGATGCCACATGTGGAGAAGGTTAGTATGCCGTGAATTGTCGGTTGAGATATATTTTGGCCATTCAAGAAAGCAGGAGAATGACCCATAATGATATTCTATCAGCGAGGAGTGCTCCTGTCCCTAAAAAGGCCCTGCGTGCTGCTATGTTAAAGAGTTGCTTTGCTGACACCATCTTAAAGGTGCGATAGAAGACACTACTAGATCATGTATGCGTTTTGTTGACAGTAGATGATGCTATGAAGTGTATCATAACGGTTGTTTTATAGATGCCTTTTGTAATTACAGTGCGATAGGGCTGATACTGTGGAGATGCAGCAGGAGAAGGCAGTGTGAAGGTGATAAAAAAGTTAAACCTATTGTTATATTTTTTCCCTAAGACATGTGCAAATCTTTTGCAAATACTCTCACATGAGCAGGGAACTAGATTTACTCTTTAAACTTTTCTCTCTATTTGCTCTGAATTCCTATCTTATGATTTCAATTGTGTTCAAGCAAGTTAATTTTGATATATATGGTAAGGTCACAAAGTAGAAAAGCAATTGGCTAGTTCATTTTGTGTTCTTGAGCAGCATTGTGTTTGTTTACTGTGTTTTGCGAACACTTTATCTAGTGAGCAGCAGAGTTTGGGTTATTGTTTGCATCGTTCTTGTCTGTGGTTGTTGGTTTAGTAATTTCATCTGAAGAGCTTATAGAAGTTGGGTCGATGTTACCCTTTTCAGATTGAGTTTGATAACCCACACTCAAAACTGGATATATGATACGAGCCCAGCTTTGTATATTTTCTTACTATGGTCCTTCATAGTTCCTAAAGTGCACCAGTGTTTTATTCCTTAAAAGGATTCAGTTAAGTCTGTCTTTGTGGACATTGCCATGGAAGTCAATTTGGCAAGCATTGTAGGAGCCTTGTATTGACCTTAAGTTTTGACCTAAGGGAGCTGACTGCATACTGTATTAAATTTGTAATTGCATCTCTGGCCTTGCTTCTTTGATTATGATGGGATTGATGAATTAATGCTGGCTAGATCTTGAGTGATATCGGTAATCTGCGTGGGGTCTGGCAGTTGGTGACTGAGCTAGGGAGGTCTGGTCCGATGCTGAAATTCCTTCAAGAAGAGATTTTTCTAGTCAATATGATTTATCCACTTTTAACTTTTGGCTAAATCACTGCAATATCTCCGTCTACTATTGCGCTGGTTTGCACCCTGAAGGCTTCAAAGACCTTTTAAAGCACTTGAATTGAGATTAGTCTTTATGGCTACTGTCATTGTGGGTTCTATGAGCATTGGTAGAGTTATCCAATGAGAGGGAGCTACTTTACGGGGTGCTTTCCATTAGTCATATTAGATATCATGGATTTTTCTTTGCCTAGGTCAAATGGATGAATTCTTTTTACTGTGCTTTTCTTTCACTAGCTGGAGG